CATAAAATTAATCGATTCTAGACTAATTTGACTCAACATTTCCAAAACACGTATAATTTTTTGGGAATAATCCATATAAACTATGCTATAAACAAAAAATTGTAGGATTACTTACCGAGTGTGCACCATTTGACAATGCCATTGCTTAAGCTTGTTTTTTGTCATGCAGTGGTGCATCGAACGGTAGGTGTGTGTTTCCTGATAAATTATTTTTCTGCAAAAAATTTGCTGAACTTTGGAGACATCATTAATATAAATATAATTTTTATGGCTGTTAAATAATAAATGGTTTTTAGTAGGTCCACTGCTCATTTAAACTCAACAGTTTGTGTAATATCCGCTATTGGTCTAGATTCGATCAATCCTGTCATGACACGAGTTGGCAATGACGTTTTACTGTATTATATGAGTCTCTTTTAGCATGTTTATATGAATACGGTCGCAATTTTTTTGCCATTATATACAAATCCATATTATATGAACCCATTTTATAGGGGGGTCTACTGTATATATTGGTTTAAATTCAATTATTTTTATTTTTATTTATATTATTATACAATTTAGACATTAAGTAAATTTTATTTAGTAAAATCATATACACTGTTGTGTTAAGCTAAGTTATTAAACTAGTTAACACGATTTAAGATTGAAACTAAGGGTTAAAAGAAAATAATATACCATATTTACTTGCATATAAGATGAGGTTATTATTCATTTATCACAGCTTCAAATTCCTGGGTCATCCTATATGTGCAAGTGAAAGATTCTTTGTGTTTTTGCAAATAATTTTTGTGAACTATGTATCCGCATTTTTTATTGGATGCTTACTGTCTTGTATTTAAAAACATAAATATTTTATCTGGGTTGTTTCAATCGTTCTTGTGAATCATCAGGAGTAACGATGAATAGCAATAGGAAAAGCAAAGCTCTTGAATTGAATTCCAGATTGAAATTCCAAAATTACAAGTGAGCCCGATATAAGTTTAATCCATTCCCATGTGAAAACATGTGATTATTCAGAAATCAGAATTTGGAGAAACTCATAAGTGTAATGGACAGAGTGTGGATTAGACTGTTAAGAATTGGCAAATAAAAAGTTTCCGATTGTCCAACTTTACATTAATAAATTATGTTGTTGATTTTACAAGATTTTTCCTTAAAGTTTAAAATGCTAGTAATTTTTGCGGGACACTGTCTGCATTTATGTGCACTTGATAATATTTTATTTGTGATTAAACAAAATAAGATTAGAGTTATATTAATATATCTAATTTTCTTTGTTTTGATCTTTAAAGTCACATCTCGTCCTATATGCAAGGTTGAGCTTTATTGATAAATCCCAAGCATTTCAGATGAACAATTTTGTGTGTATAATAAATAGTCATTTATTTATAAAACTTCATGTAACTGTGTTGTTAATTTGAAATATTATTCTACACATATTTGTGAAATGTAAGATAATTGAACCACATATGATTTTTATAGATTTATTCTTTAATAAATTATTAAAAATGAGGAAATTTCACTTTTAGTAATTTTTTATAAACATTTCTAATAGTTGTCTTTTAAATAATATGGTTGTAGCACTTTAATTGCTGAATATATCAAGTAAAATATATAGGCCTATAATAATTTTTTAAAACTTTTATTTATTTATTTTTGAAATATTCTCTTGGCTTGGATTTTAAAGTTATAATAGTTTTAATGAATATGAAAAATATAAAAGTTTGTTTTTTCAGGAGAAACGTTGTTTGAGGACTGCACCTATGCTAGAAGCATGCTTGCCAGTTGGTCATTGTATGATTTTAAAGGGAAGACGTTTCTCTTCATACACGTAAATATTACTATTATTTTTCAATGTAATAAAAAATAAAATTTGCACTTATGAGCATCTAAACACCTGATTTTTTGATTAAAGCAAAACAATGCCAGATTATATTGGGCTATATTAATTATAATTATTAAATTTATTAAGAGATGGCACCTAATGCTTACCTCTTGGCAAAATTACTTAACATTTAATTGTTAATAGTAGCATTAATACAGCCTGATATAAACTGGCAATCGTTTGACTTGGATAAAATTTGTACTTTTATCAAATGTAAATTAATTTTTATTATTAATTATCTGCAAGGACCCG